AAAGCAAACTGCTACAACCGCTTCTAGCCTCTCCTTGTTCCTTCATTAATAACTTTGTCACCTTGATCACACTGCGATGTGATTTTTTTGGCTACACATACCCCAGTTTTCATCTGTGAAATGTTGGAGGATGTGAAAGTTCAACTTGCAGTTGACAATACCTGTGTCTACTCACTCTGTTAACTTTCCACTATGCCCCAGAATGAGGTTAAGTTGCAAGCACTGTGGGAAATTACAGTGCTGGTTCAGTCCAGATGCTCAGCAATTGCATTTACAATTCTATACTGCTTCATGGTGATCTCAGCACTCTCTAAGCGGTTTACAATCTGTAAGCCAATTGCCCCCATTAAGCTGGGTACTCATTTTACAGGCCTATGAAAGGAAGGAAGGCTGAGTCAACCTGGAGCCCTCTGGATTCGAACTCACAATGTTGTCACTGCAGTACTGGCATTTAACCATTCTGCTACCAGGGCTCTCAGAGTTCTGGTTCTGGTGGGTCCAGGGGAGACATCAGTGTTGGGCCTCTTTCAGGATGCTGAGACACTGACAGGTTCCCAAGGATGCCAGCCCAGGTACATCTTCTGAACCAACGGTGAACTAAGCTATTCTTGAAAGAGGTCTGAATTTTTAAGCCACAAAATCAGTCGTACCAAATGCATCGCTTGGCTCGATGTGTGATTTACATGAGTATATATTGCATTTATGCAAATAGTGATGCTTTTTGGAATTGCGTGCACAGGGCATTCTCGATATTCATTAATAATGAATCAGAACAAAAGGGGAAACGGAGCTTTTATTGTTGAGAAACACTGTCGCAGCTGCTCATGCTGATAACTGATGGTGATGTCACAAAAGTGACATTTCTCTCTCCCTCTCCCCTTCCCCTTTTACATCCTCCGCAACACACATACACCAATGAGAGGACACTGGCTGGCAGACACACTGTTATTCCTTCTTGTCTAGTAACCCCCTTCTCGTGAGCAACACGCCACAAGTCAAAATCGACACTGCAGCCCAAATTGTTTAGCAGCTATTTGCAATAAAGGCAAAGACTGCAAAATGAATTTGCACACGGCATATCATTCCATGAACTTAAAATCACCCCAGCAGACCACGGCGCACAGCCCCGATTTCCTTGGGAACAGATACGAAATAAGAGAATGATAAACAGTATCCATCACTTCTGTTTTGCAAAGCATTTTATGGCTGTTCTTGCATTCATGTCCACAAACGCCCCAGGAAGAAGGCAATTGTTCCGCTTACATATCTCGCACCACCATGCCTTCCCCTCCTGGCGCCAGTCCCCAGTGGTCTCTGTTGATAATGATGGCATCATGCCGTCACTGAAAAGTCAACAGAAAAGATGAACCACAGTCTAGTGCAGTTGAAACATACAGGCATGTTTATTGGATGTTTTCTGGGTGGGGGCTATAATGGTTAGGAAATAGTTGGAGGACTTTCATGAGTGGTTTGAGTGTAAGAAGCTCATTATCACCTGCAGCTAAGTGGAGGAAATGGATAGAAGGTGCTGATGTGTGATGCAACAAAAGAGGACAGCATGGGAGAGAGCTGCAAGGTGAAGACCCACTGGTGTGAGTGCACATGCACATTTGTTGTGGTGTTGAGTTGAGTGCCTCCAAGTCAATCGGAGTGTAGTGTCTAGAATAGATGGAGGAAAATAATAGTGTCATTCTATTCTGCTTTAGTCAGATCTCACCTGGAATACTGTGTCCAGTTCTGGGCATCAGAGTTCAAGAAGGATATTGACAAGCTGGAGTGTGTCCAGAGTAAGGTGACCAAAATGGTGGCAGGTCTGGAAACCTATGAGGAACGACTTAGGGAGCTGAGTATGTTTAGCCTAGGGAAGAGAAAGTTAAGCGGTGACATGATATCCATGCTTAAATATTTGAAGAAATGTCCTATTGAAGATGGAGCTAGCTTGTTTTCTTCTGCTCCAGAAACTAGGACATGGAGCAATGGATGCAAACCACAGGAAAAGAGATCCCACCTAAATATTAGGAAGAACTTCCTTACAGTAAGAGCTGTTCAATATTGGAACACTCTGCCTCAGAGAGTGGTGGATTCTCCTAGGAGGTTTTTAAACAGATACTGGATGGCCATCTGTCGGAAGTGCTTTGACTGTGTATTCCTGCATGACATCGGATTGGACTGGATGGTCCTTGTGGTCTCTTCCAACTGTGTTACTATTATTCTAAGGGGCTGTACAGATGGCCCATAAGGGGTGGCGGCAAGCTGCCCCTTTGCTCACTGGATCGGGGCCATGGCAACTGCACACTGTGGCCCTGATCCAGTGCTTTGCCCCTCTAAAAAGAGCTGGCAAATGCCACTGAGAAGTGAGGAGCTCTTATCTGGGTTAAACTTCAATTTGTTTGCCAGCATCCACTCTATTATTGACACCAGTATGTAGAGAGATCTTGTAGCACCTTTGCGACTAACTAAAAGAAAGAAGTTGGCAGCATGAGCTTTTATAGAATTCATTCTATGTCCTCAGATGCATTGCATCTGATTCCTCAGATGTATTGCAGAATGCATCTGAGGAAGTAGACTTTAACCTAGGAAAGCTCATGCTGCCAACATCTTTCTTTCAGTTAGTCTCAAAGGTGCTACAAGATCTCTATACATATTGATTCTACAGACTAACACGGTTATATCTTTGAATTATTGACACCAGACACAGGCAGATCCAATTGTTGAATGGAGTTACACTCCCCCAGCAATGGAGGTTCATAGATCAGGTGTACTCCTGGGCTCAGCCCTGAGCTTGGATGCCCAGGTTTCAGCATAGGCTGAGAGTACATTTGCCCAATTAAAATTAGCTGTGCCTATTCCTGGAGATATCTGAGCTGTCCACAGTGACACATGTCTTGCTTACATCCCATTTAGATAACTGTAATGCACTCTCTGTGGGGTTGCCTTTGCAAAGTGTTCAGAAACGTCAGGGCATCCGAGATGCTGTGACAAGAATGTTGCTTGGAGCTGGTTACATGGAGAACTTTACTGGCTACCAATCTGTTTCCAAATGCAAGGCAAACATCTGGTTATGGTCCATAAATCCCTATATAGCTTAGGTCCAGACTATCCGAAATATTGTACAGCCACTTAAGATCCTGCCTGAGTTTTCAGATCTCTGGCAGAAGGATTTTTCAGAGCCAAAAGGGCTACCTAGTCCAACCCCTACCATGCAGGAATATACAGTTAAAGAACTCCTGAAAGATGCCCATCCAACCTTTGTTTAAAAGACCTCCAAAGAAACAGAGTCCACCATCCTTGGAGGGTCTCTATTTTAGTCTTGAACAGTTCTTACAGTAAAGACGTTTTCCCTGATGTTCAGGCAGAATTTCTTTCCTTGTAGTTGGAATCTAATCATTGCTTGGCTTTAATATATGAGAGGTTGGTTAATTCTATTTAAATTGCTTTTCAGTGCTTTAACTTACGTACTGTGTTTTGTTCCAATTTATGTTGTAACTTGAACTGTAACCTGAATTACAGAAAGAAAGGGAAAAAAGAAAGAGGGAGGGAAGGAGGGTGAGAGAAAGATCAAAAACTTGTCAGATAACATTAAGAAGATGGCTGATGTGCAAAGTTTGCCTAAGATCTATTGATCATAGATATATTTGTATTATTGATGGATTTGAAAAAGTGTCTTCTTCAGGGAACTGTTATGATGGCCTGATTTTTAGCTAACGGCTTGAGGGTAGAGGTCATTCAATGCCAATGTTATATACTTTAGTGTCCAGTAGTGAATTCATAGAGAGCTACCATAGCATCATGGTTTGATCATTGGGCTATAATTCTGGAGGCCAGGGTTTGAATCCAGGCTTGGCCATGTAAACCCATTGGGTGACCTTGGGCAAATCACACTCTCTCAGCTTTAGAGGATGGCAATGGCAAGCCCCTTCTGAGAAACCTTTGCCAAGACGATCCTGTAATAGTTTCACCTTAGGGTCACCATATGTCGGAAACGACTTGAAGGCAAACAACAACAAATGACAAAAGTGAATTCACAAAGGAGAATCATTAGTTTGAGGTCTCTGCTGATGCTTCACTGAATATTCACCCACCCAACCCATCGCAAGTCAATCCATTTCCCTAAACTCAAAGCTTCCTAACTGCATCCATTTATTTTATTCTGGCAAGGCACGGATGTGGCCCTGCAAGCAGATGCCACATTTGCAGACTGATTTCCACCTTGCCAGTTACTGGGAAATGGTATGAAATCGGAAACAGTTTCTCCCACCCAGAGAGAGAAAGACACATTTCCTGCACACATGCATGTGCATGAGTGCTTTTGCACTCGAAGCACCGCTACCAAATTAGGGTGCTTTTTGGAGAGAGAAAAATTAAAAGGGGAAATTATTCTCTGGCTCAAGCGGCTGGAGGAAAAGCCAAAGATGCATTATGAGCTCCGAATGAATAGCTGAACTATGGCTTGTTGCTGTGCGCGCACGCCGGCGAACAAACCTGACCGACTTGTGATTGGTTTCAAACGGATCCTGGCAACCAATGCAACCGTGCCAGTGTGTGTCCTAGCAACAACATTTCCCTAATGAACGAACAGCAAGGCATTAGGACTGTCTGGAAAAATAAAGGGAGGCCAGATCCTCAGAGAAAGGGGCCCGATCCTATAGTAACAAAAGCCAAGCATTTCTGAAATAAGGACTAGAAGGGAATAGCAAGTCGAGCAGAGTTGCGTGTGCTTCCTATTCAGAATCATTGCTTGTTTGCTTTTTCCTGCTCTCTTGCTCATCACGCTTCTTAACTAGGAGCATCAAGTTAGGGAAAAGATAACAAAAACCCTAACTACGGCTGCACTTGAAGCCACTTGCTCAGTTTGTGTGTGTATGTGCGTTGTGTGCCTTGGGGTCATTTCCAACCTAGGGTGGCCCTAAGGTGAACTTATCATGGGGTTTTCTTGGCAAGATTTGTTCAGAGGAGGTTGAGAGAGTGTGACTTGCCCAAGGTCAGCCAGTGAGTTTCATGGCCAAGCAGGGAATCGAACTCTGGTCTCCAGAGTCATAGTGTAATGCTCAAACCTCTATGCCACACTTTTGCTCTTTCAGTTTATGTAGATATTAACTAATCTTGCTAATCTTCATGCCATAAAAAGAACAAGCTGTTAATCTCTGAAGACTAGGAAATATATCCATGGATAGTTGGCCATGTAGCAAAATATAACAACATCCAAAATCCACAAAACAAGGATATCTTTGTTGTGCCAACCGAGATGTACCAAATATATGATGTAAGCTTTTGAAACTCCATTGGCTTCTTCATCTGGCAAGGCTTTTCAAAAATTGGACAGCAGAATTTCCCCCCCCCCTCCATGATGTTAGTCACAAGTCTGAATTTTGTCAAGAAGTTGTTGTTGTTGTGAGTATGGTGGGATATCTGTTCAGACAAGCCACTTCTTCTGGAACTGAGAGACAAAAGTATTTTAAAGTCCATGAAATAAAATTTAAATGCCATTCGCAACACAAAAAGGTACTTCCTTTGAGAGCCAACATCTTGACAAAATGCAGGCCTATTACTAACATCTTTTCTCTCTCTCTCTCTCTCCTATATGATATTTTAATACATTTGCCTGATAAAGAAGCCAGTGGAGCATCAAAAGCTTGCCACATATATTTTGTGCATTTTGATTGGTCCAATAAAGGTATCACTGTTTTGATCAGAAATACTGGCTAATTGTTGCTTGTTGTTGCATGCCTTCAAGTCCTTTTGGACTTATGGCAATCGATCCTATCATGGGGTTTTCTTGGCAAAATTTGTTCAAAGGAGGTTTGCCGTTGTAGTTGGTTGTTGTTATTTAAAAAGAGAGTGAGAGAACCCAACCTCTACTCAAAGATCTTTCAAATCAGACTGGAAATACCGTAATTAAACAGATAGTGGCACTTAAAGTATAAAGGTTCTTCCCTGTTCCAGTTTTTTTCCTTGCAACAAGTCTGTGCGGTTTGTTAATCTGAAAAAGAGGGCCTGATCAGAAGTTACCCAGTGAATTTCATGGCTGAGTGAGGATCTGAATCTAGGACTGCATCTACACTGCAAAATTAATGCAGTTTGACACTTTGACTGCCATAGCTCAGTGCTATGGAATCCTGGGATTGGTAGTTTTGTGAGCTATTTAGCCTTTGCCATCAGAGAGCTCTGGTATCACAACAATCTACAAATTCCAGGATTCCATAAGATTGAGCCATGGAAATTAAAGTGGTGTCAAGCTGCATTAATTCTGCAGTGTAGATGCAGCCTAGGTCTCTTCAGTTCTGATCCAAGGTTCTCAACACAGTGCCAGTATGACTTGACCTGGGACCCATGCACACTAGACGATTATAGCACAACGATTCCACTTTAAATGCCATGTTTCCAGCCTTTGGAAGCCTGGAATTGGCAGTTTAGGGAGGGCCATTTAGAATCCTCAGCCAGAGAAATCTAGTACTCCTCCAATTTGCAAAGTCCAGGATTCCATAGGACATTGCTAAGGCAGTTAAAGTGGAATATATAGTACCATATTTTTGTAGTGTGAATGGCCCCCTGTAATACATCTGATATGTTAAAAAAAAAAAAAGAACTGCTGACACTTTTCCTGAATTTTAAATGCCTGCTCATTTCTGCAGATCAAATTGCTGCGAAAGGAACAGTCATTTCAAAAGTTGAAGGCATTTCTAGAATGTGACAATAGGCTCCATTACCATCTGAAATGTTAACTGTCAGCTATATAGGATCTTTTCCATTTCCATTTGTTCCTCATTTTCAGCATCTAAGCATAGCTGCCATGTGAATCCACAAACCGTGATTCCCTGATGGTCAGTTTCATGACTGGTCATCTGTTCTTCAAACATCATAGAATCATAGAACAGATTCACAGAATCATAGAGTTGGAAGAGACCCCAAGGGCCATCCAGTCCAACCCCATTCTGCCATGCAGGAACTCAAAATCAAAGCATCCCCAACAGATGGCCATCCAGCCTCTGTTTAAAGACCTCCAAAGAAGGAAACCTCAACACTCTCTGAGGGAATGTGTTCTGCTGTTGAACAGCTCTTAATGTCAGGAGGTTCTTCCTAATGGACGTTTTCACACGGGGCTTTAGGAGGACGCAATCCTACCTCCGTCCGGACCCACTCCGGCTCCTTTGGCAAATTTTTCACACGACGTCGCAGCAAGCCCCGCCCCATCCAGTGCCATCCCTGGCGCTATCCTGCGTCAGTCCGGGGCTTGCTGCGCGTGTTCACATGACGCCGCAGCAAGCCCCGCCCCCGCCCCGCCCCATCCAGCGCCATCCCCGGCGCTGGCCGGCATCATCCCTGGTGTTTGTAATTCCTTTTCTTAAAAGGAATTAGAGTTGCTGCTGCCGGAAGCAATCAGGAGCCATTCCGGCGGCTGCTGTTTTCACCGCCGGAATGGCTCTTCATTGCTTCCAGGTGGCTTTAGACCCATGCGTTTGAAAATGCCCAATGTTGAGCTGGCATCTCTTTTGCTGTATCTTGAATCCATTGCTCCAGGTCCTATTCTCTGGATCAGCAGGAAACAAGCTTGCTCCGTCTTCAGTATAACTTCCCTTCAAATATTTAAACAGGGCTATCATTTCACCTCTTAACCGTCTCTTCTCCAGGCTAAATATGCCCAGTTTCCTAAGTCGTTCCTCATAGGGCAAGGTTTCCAGACCCTTCACCATTTTGTTCACCCTTCTCTGGACACGCTCCAGCTTCTCAACATTCTTTTTGAATTGAAATCATAGAATTTATGTCTTTAATTGTGGCACCTCTGCAAACAAATGGTGTATCCTCTGCAAACTTACTTGGGAGTGAACTCCACAGCACATGGTGGACACCACCAAGTATACATTGTGAGTATAAGAGTCTTCATATTTAATGGTGTTTCATTGGTAATGGATGGGGAGATTAATTTGCTCCCCCCCTGCAAGGACCTGCAAGTAGGCAAAATGAACAACAACCTGCCTGCCAATGTTGACCCTCCTCGGCTTAAAAATGGTTCTGAGTTCCCCGATAGAAAGAGCTCAGGTTGGTGCAAAATGACTTGCTTTGATTGTTTCCAGGTTGGTTCCCATTCAGAAGAAATTGAAATTCCTTCTACTGACGAGCCATTAGAATTTACTTTGATAAGGAAATATCCCAGTACTACAAAGAAGAGTTGTTTTCGTCTCCATTTTACTGTATCTGAATTTATTTTGCTTTCCATTCTGCACATTAAAAAAAAAAAATATCTTCCTTTGGAGGTGGTACATCTGCATACCTAGCAACATGCTTGAATTCTCTTTGGGATGGAAAATAGCTCACAGCTCACACAACTTTATATATATTATATATAATTGTGTGAGCTGTGAGCCATTTTCCAATCCCAAAGAGAATTCAAGCATATATAAGCTCCTATTGTGTAAGGGTTAAACAAGTAAACGGTAAGTGCAAACAAATCAGGGTGGCCAAGGAGTGCCTCTCTAGATATTGTCATACTGCAACTCCCAGCATAACAGTTGACTTGAAAACACACACACACACATTAGTAGAGCCTCCAATATTATCTTAAAGCCAGGGTTTCTTAACATGGCTGCTCCTAGTCCTTCAAGTAATCCAGACCCAAAGGGTTCATATAACGTCAAAGCCAACATTTTTTGCATTAGGTCAGAAATATACTGGAAATACAGCTTGAACAGAATTGGTTTCATATGGTCTACCTGTCTACCTGATCTGACTGTTTACCCTACTGCTCTCATGTCTTGTTTGTGGGCTTCTCATAGCCATCTAGTTGGTCTCTGGTGGTGTAAACGGGATGCTGGATTGGCATTATATGCAACCCGGTAAATTTCTTCTTGCATCCTCATTATGTTCACAGTAACTAACTCTTTTCATTTTTCAAGCTTTTAGCATTATTTACAATGATTCCTCTTTCATTCCAGGCCACTGGATGGAGCCCTTCGTCTGTGCATAGCATCTTGACATATATTGCTACAAAATTTGCCTGGCACTACTCAATATTAATCTGCATGGTTTATTTTATGTTTTGAATTAAAATAAATAGCAAGCAATAGCACTTTCTATGATTAAATTTTATTTCACATCAGATTTCAGGCAAAATGGACCCAAACCAGCAGTTGCGTTGTTGTTTTTTAGGCCGGGGGGTTAGCCAACATTTGTTCCCCAGTTCCAAACTTTCACCAAAAAATGTTTAGGATGTCAACCTCAGGTTTGGTCAAAACGGATTCCTCAGTGTGCATCCTAGAGCAAAAGTACAGAAATCAAAAGTTTTTGTTTAGGAGGCAACCAAAAGTAGTTCACAGACCAGGTTTAAAAACTTTCTGGAGGTTTTCATGTTGGTCCCATGGTTCATCTTGGATTTCTACAGTATAACAGATAGACGTATGGACAGACGGGCATTTCATTTAAAGTGTAGATGAAAACTTGTTCTTTGGAAATTAATGTGTCCATTTTAAGTAATTGCTGTTTGTGAAAGTTTGCAAAATTTTCTGAAATGGTTCACAATAAACATTTGACAAAGATGTGTAACAGAAACAAAACAAAAAAGCAAAGCAAAGCAAAACAAAGCAAAACAAACCAAAGCAAAAGCCTCCACCACAAGTATTCTGCATCAAAAACTTGAATTTTACAATATGTATTCTTTGCACAGATCTTCAGTTTTGCTGCAATACTGTCTTGTGCCCAGGTACCCAACAGGAAAAGCTACTGCATTAGATCAGTGTTATAATGGAAGCAGAACTCAGAGAGAAAAGAAAGGACTTTTTGAATAGCAGGAACAGTAAAATAGTCTGTTGTTCTTCTTAGGATTTTCTTCACAGAAGCTGGGCAAAATGCCTTTTCCACCAATGTTAGGAGCCAGTGTTGGATAGTGGTTAGCGTTTTAGACTAGAAGTTGGAGGGAGGTTCCTGGTGCTAGTTCTCCCTGAGCCATAATACTTAATGGGTAACTTTGGGTCAGTTACTCTCTCTCAGCCTGTCCTACCTCACAAGGTTATTGTGAAGACTGTGGAGTAGAAATTATTACACCCTGAAGGCACCAGATCCTATCTGATTTCAGAAGCTAA